CCATCGTCACCATCATCAGCATCATCAGCATCATCATTATCATCATCATCAGCATCGCCGTTATCGGCATCCTCATCGTCATCACCATCCTCACAACCATCATCAGCATCGCCACCTTCACCACCAGCAGCATCACCATCATCATCGTTATCGACATCGTGGCCATCAACAGCATTAACAACAGCATCATTATCAACATCATCGTTATCGACATCGTCATCAGCAGTAGCATCATCATCGTTATCATCGTCATTATCATGACCGTTATCAACATCACAGCCGTCATCATCAGCCCCGCCTGGGGCCGGGCGGCGCCATGGCCTCAGGCGCAAGGCGCTGCGCGGCGGCCTCGAGGCCCGTCACCGTGAGCTTCAAGGATTACGTCGAGGCTATCGCGGAGGACGGCAGCGAGCAGCTGGAGCCTCTGGATGGCAAGCCGTGGGCGTTGTTGCCTAGGGAGCTCAGGCACCTGTGGAAACTGGGGCCAGCAGCGGTCCCTGGGGAGCCCAGGCAGGGGCAGACCCTAACGGAGGGCAACGGACCTTGGCGCGAGGCAGCAGACATGCGTGTGGCCGAAACCCTCGGCCAGATCCAGCCTCCACCCTGGGCCGCGGATGCGCGGGTGGCCGAAACCCCAGGGGAGAGAAGCCCCTCGTCGGCGTCCTTGGCGAGCCCGCTGCTGGGCAGACCCAAAAGGGGCGGGGAGGCGAGCTCTGGAGCAAGGCCGCCGACGTGCGGGTGGCCGAAGCCTTTGAACGAGCTCGGCCCCATTCCAGGGCGACGGGCGCGTGGGTGGTCGAAGCCCCTAGGGTGAGGGCCCCCTCCCAGCTGCTGGCGCTGGGGGGACCTAAGGGAGGGGGAGGCGAGCTATGGCGCGAGGCCGCAGACGCGCGGGTGGGCGTTTCCCCCGTCTGGGTCAGCCTCCGCTCAGGGCCACGGACGCGTGGGTGGTCGAGTCCCTTGGGCCGAGCGCCCCCTCCCAGGCGTCGCGGCGCAGAGGCGCCCTTGGGGAGCCCCCACCAGGGCAGACCCAAAGCAGGAAGCAACAGGGTGTGAGCCAAAGACCGCAGGCATGCGGGCGGTCGGGGCCCATGACCGCACCCTTCCTCGCCCTTGGGCTGCAAATGTGCAGGTGGCCAAAGCCACAGGCGCTAGAGGCCCCCATCCTTTCGGATCGGGGTGAACCAGCGCTTGCCTGCGCAAGCGCAAGCTCGGTCTGGACCTGGGCGAGGACGAGGGCCTCTGCAATGACAGGCTGGGCAAGTTCGTCCTGGAACTGGGCGAGGACGGGTGCCTCCCCGAGGGCGGGCTGAAGGACCCGAAGGGCCAGTGCAAGCGCGAGGTCGCCCTGGGCCTGGGCGCTGACGCGAGCTTGCGCGAGGGCGGGCTGGAGGGCCTGAAGGGCCTGTGCAAGCGCAGGTTTGGCCTGGGCCCGGCAGAGGATTAGAGCCTACGCGAGGGCAGGTTGGAGCACGGCGGCCATGGCAGCGGCGCAGGTTTCCTGTCTACGGACGAGTTCCTGGAGGCGGGGATCGCCTCTCGGATCGCCTTCGCAGCGGCCGGCATCTTCCTCGGGGTCCCACTCGAGGCCCCGTATTAGCTCGCGGGCGTCGCGGGCTGAGTCGCCGTGACTGCTCGGGTGTCGTTGTTCCGCTTGCTTCGGCAGGGGCGGATGCCGGCTTTTCGCGATTCTGGTGAATCTGCGCGGGTGCCTTGGGCACGAGGCCGCGCGTTGCTTCCGCAGGGCCATAGGGAGACGCCTCGGTCCGAGGGGCAGTATGAGCAGGGAGCTCCTGACCCTTTTGAGACGCGCAGATCATACTCATCATCGTTGTCATCATCAGTCATCTTCATCAGCAGCATCGTTATCATCATCGTCAGCGTTGTCATCCCCCTTGGCATCATCAGCAGCAGCATCAACATCGTCAAAATCAGCATAGTCATCATCATCGCCCGTATCGTCACCATCATCGTTATGGCCATCGTCATCAGCATCACATTCATAATCATCATGGCCACCACTTTCATTCACCAGCACCAGCAGCAGCATCACAACAGTATTCATAAGCATCGCCATTGTCACCATATCTGTCATAATCATCAGATGCATCATAAGCATCATCGTCATCATCACCGTCCTCTTCATCAACATCCGCATCAGTATGATCATGTTCGTCATCACCATCACCGTCGCCATCGCCGTCATCATCATATTGACCGCCCATCGGCATCCGGCGCCCCCGAGTGCTTCAGCGGCACAGCGTAATTCGCCTGCAACACGCTTTGCAGCCCCATAAGGAGCTCCACCGAGTTCATTGATGGCACAGATCGCATACGGCCCTCCACCATCTTGGCAGACTCCTCGCGAGCTTCGTGGCCACACAGGGAGCTTCCCATCCGTCGCCCCGCCAGCCCAGCGGTGCTCGCACTTGCAGACGGCTGGTGCTTTTTGTTCGCAAGGGTAATCTAGCTGCCCCGTGTGTTAGCGCGTGGCGAGGGAAAAGGAGGATGCGAAGGATGAGAATACTGGAGGAGGGAGGAATGATTATGATGACGAGAGCGATGACGATGACAATTACGGTGATGATGACGACGACGATAAATACAGTGGGGACGCGCATCACGAAACCATCTGCCTCTCGTCAGGGTGCCCGGGGTTTCTTCATTCCGCGCGCTGCGCGGTGACTTCCGCGGCTGTCAAAGAAACTGCTGCAGTCAGGGTGCTCTGGGTTTCCCCATGTTTCCCTCAGGTGCACTTTGCGCGCGGGTTATTCAGGGTTGGGTTTCTTGCGAGGGTTGCTTGCAACCGCGCCCGCACTGTATGGCGATGATCATGACGAGGACGATGGCGATAATGATGGCGATGGCGATCACGCTGATGATGATGATAATGATAATGACGATGATGATGATGATGAGGATGATGAGCATGGGGGTGATAATGGTGGTCATGATGATGAAGATTGTGATTTCGATTTGGATGATGATGATGTTTATGTTGCTGATGCTGAGGAAATGGATCACGAGTGTCCTGCTGATGACATTGATGGCACTGGTGATCATTAGGTTTATGATGACGATGATGGTGATGATGGTGGTGACGGTGGTGATTATGATGTTAATGTTGATGTTGGTGATGGTTAATTGCGATGCTGATGCTCAAGATGGTTGCTGTCATGATATTGATGATGATGGTGAAGATGATGCTTATGCGGATGCTGATGTTTATAACGGTAAATATGACAAAGGTGCTGTTGATGTTGATGGTGTTGATTATGGTGATGACGATGATTATGATGATGATGCTGATAAGCTGATGATGACGACGACGATGCTGATGCTGATGATGATGTTGTTGACCATGATGATGGTCATGATTACGGTGACAATTATGATGTTGGTGGTGGCGATGAATGGTGATGATCATGATGGTGGTGATGGGCATGATGATGATGATGATGATGAAAGAATAAGGTGGCGATCGTTTTGATGAGGGTGAAGATGATGCTGATGATGGTGATGATGATGATGCTGATGATGATGATGATGATGATGATGATGCTGATGATGATGATGATGATGATGATGATGATGATGAGGTGGGGGAGGACGAGGAGGCCTGCCTTCGGGGTTGCGGGGTTTCGGGTATTGCGTTTCTGTTTCCAGGGATTGCGTTTTTCTTGTTTCCGTGGGTGGTCGTTCGGGCTTGCGGGGCCTGCCTTTCCTGGGTTCGGGTTCTGTGCGCGTTCTGGGGTTCGTGCCCGGCGTTTCTGGAGTTGGCAGTTCGCCCGAGAAAATGAGGAGTGGGTTCGCAGTGGAGATCGCGTGGGGGTCTTTTGCCCCGCAGTTCTGACACACACACACACACACAAACACAAACAGAAACATTCACACACACAGCCTCGGGTGTCGACTCAACTGTTCCTTCCACCAGGATTCGCGGCTATTTACTTGACTCCGGCATTCGTTCGCTCATCTTTTTGGCTCACTGGAGGGAGGTTCTACGATTGAGAACATCCTGCAACGCGCCCGAGTCATCATCGTCGAACCTATCCCCAACCCCACTGTGCCAGGGTATCTCAGCGCTACCAGCCTACTCGCCTAGGTGGGATTGGCCCCGCGAAGCCCGAAGGAACAGGCGTAGATCCCCACCTATGTGGGTCAGTCGGCCAGTAGGTCAAGGCCACCGTAGTGGGAATAGGGATCGGTGGCACGATGCTCATTGCCTCACTGAGGGGGGGAGGGAGCGGGAGGGGCAGGAGAGAGGGAGGTGGAGGAGGAGGATGAGGAGGAGGAGGAGGAGGAAGAGGAGGAGGCGGAGGAGAGGAGGAGAGAGGGAGGTGGAGGGGGAGGAGGAGGAGGAGGAGGAGGAGGAGGAGAGAGGGGGTGGATGAGGAGGAGGAGGAGGAGGAGGAGGAGGAGGAGGAGGAGGAGGGGAGGAGGAGGAGGAGGGAGGGAGGAGGAGGAGGGAGGAGAGAGGGAGGAGGTGGGAGGAGGGAGGAGGAGAAGTGAGGAGGAGAAGGGAGGAGGAGGTTGGAGGGAGGGAGGAGGAGGGAGGAGGGAGGAGGGAGGGAGGGAGGAGGAGGGAGGAGGAGGGAGGAGTAGGAGGAGGGAGGAGAGGAGAGGAGGGGGGAGGAAAGGAGGTTGGAGGGAGAGGAGGAGGAGGGAGGAGGAGGAGAGAGGGAGGGAGGAGGAGGAGGGAGGAGAGAGGGAGGAGGAGGAGGAGGAGGAGAAGTGAGGAGGAGAAGGAAGAGGAGGTTGGAGGGAGGGAGGGAGGAGGAGGGGAGGGGAAGGGAGGAGAGGAGGGAGGGAGGAGGAGGAGAGAGAGGGAGGAGGAGGAGGAGGGGAGGAGGAGAAGTGAGGAGAAGAAGAGGAGGTTGGAGGGAGGAGGAGGGGGAGGAGGAGGGAGAGGGCGGGGGGGGGCCACGTTTCAGAACGCTCTGCAGCAAGCCCCGAACCGTTGCCCGACGCCCTCCGCCGGCGCGGGCTCCCCGTGGCAGGCCGCGGCGGTGGCCGCCGCGTACGGTGGCAGCGCTCGCCCGAGGAGCCGCCCACCACCCTGCGCCCTGCAGCGCGCGAGCCTCGCCTCCGCAGGTCACTGAGGGGGGGAGGAGAAGGAGGAGGATGAGGAGGAGGAGGAGGAGGAGGAGGAGGAGGAGGAGGGAGGAGGAGGAGGAGGAGGAGGAGGAGGCGGAGGAGGAGGAGGAGGAGGAGCCGCAGGTCCCCGTCCTCCGCGTCGTCGTTGTCGTCGGCCTCGCCGCCGCCGCGCGTCGTCGCCGTCACAGCCCCCTCGCGTTGTGACAACAAAAATCGGCGCAAGGTTTTCTTGCTATGTTAGGCCATTCGAGGCCTTGGCCGGGACCCAGGATCATCAGAACAAGTCCCACGACGGAAAGCCGGCGACGGGGGAGGGGCCCAGACTTCTGAAGAGCCGCGCTGCGAACAAAAGACCCGACGACGGGGATCTGGGGTCGCGCCCGCCGTCGTCGTGCTGAAGGCACCCGTGCACCACCGCCACGCCTGGCCAGTGCCACCCAGGGCCCTGGGGCTGCGAGGGCGCAGGCGCGTGCCGGGGCGTGCACGCCACGCCGCAGGCAAGCTGGTGGCGTACACGCCGGTTGCTGAAAGTATGTATTTTTGGATTCCCAGATCCCAATCTACTTCAAGCGCATCCCTACTTCAAGAATCGACACGCTTTTGCTGTGCATTGTTATTCACTGGGGGGGCCTGGACCCAATCAACTCAATCCGCCTTCCTACTTCATGTTTTTACCTACTTCTTCCGACCGACGTGTATGGGCACCTGCTGGGCAGCGCCCGCGCGCGCGCCACGCAGCCGCGCCGGCGCCGCGGGCGCGCCGCCGCTCCCCGGGGCCCGCCCCGAGCAGCCATGGGCCGCAGGGCGCCCGCGCGCCAGAGGAAGGGGCCGGGCTCGGAGGGCGGCAGCGGCGGCGAGGAGCAGGGCGAGGGGGCCGCCGCCCCCCCGCCCAGGACCGGCGGCTCCTGCTCCTCCTCTTGTTCCTCCTCCTCCTCCCGCCCAGGACCGCCCTCCCTCCTCCTCCTCATTCCTCTTGTTCCTTCTCCTCCTCCTCCTCCTCCTCCTCCTTCTCCTCTTGTTCCTTCTCCTCCTCCTCCTCCTTCTCCTCTTGTTCCTCATCCTTCTCCTCTTCCTCCTCCTCCTTCTCCTCTTGTTCCTCCTCCTCCTCCTCCTCATTCCTCCTCCTCCTCGTCATTCGAGCTTTGATCCCAGAGCTTCGAACTTCGAGCGGGGGGCCGCCGCCCTCCCTGTCAGGACGGGCGGCCGCGTTCAGGGGTAGCGTGAGGGGGGGCAGGCTCGAGGAGCGAAACAGAACCTCGAGGTCCTCGAGCCTCGAGCCTCGAGCCTCGAGGGCCTCGAGGGCCTCGAGGGCCTCGAGGGCCTCGAGGGCCTCGAGGGCCTCGAGGGCCTCGAGGCTCGAGGTTCTCGAGTCTGGGATCGAGGTCCTCGAGCCTCGAGCCTCGAGGATCGAGGTTCTCGAGTCTGGAGAATCGGGGGTGGACAGAGCCCCCAACAGTGACACGTCGATTAGTGAATTGTCCGTTTTCGGTTCTCGAGAGGGCGCCGTGGCCGTTATTTTCCAGGCTTGCGCCCGCCAGGTTGGGGCCTTGGGTCGTTTTCACTGAACCGCGTTGTACTAAAGGGGGGTCTGTCCATCCCCGAGAGAAACAACTCTTCCCAGCCGCGCCCCCAGACGTTTCGGTAGGGCAGGCCAGGCTGCTCGACACCTCCTCACCGCTGATGGCCGTGAAGCTCGAAGCCTGGAAAAGGCCACGGCTGGAGGGCGGGTGGTTTTCGAAGTGCGGTTCTCGCTTCAGCGCCGCGCGCGCTCATCGTAAAAGTTTGCAGCAGCCTCAAGGACGGAGGGCGGTTCCTTTTCAAAATGTGGCTCTTGCCCGAGGACCGGGCGCATTCGTGTTCAACGTCTGCAGCAGCTTCAAGGGTGGAGGGCTGTCGCTTTTCAAAAAAGTGGCTCTCGCCCCAGCGCCGCGTTCCTTCGTGGTAAATGTGTGCGACCGTTTCGAAGATGCATCTGGTTGAAGTCCGAGGATTGGTTTTCCGGTGCCTGGCACGGTTTAGGATTTCAAGGACGCGATTGGTCAAGTTTTTTCGCGGAGTCGATGTCTCAGGAACGGTGTCCTGAGACGATTTCGGATTGTCAGGACGCAACAGTCCATTTGATCCGCTGTGTGGAATTTCCAGTTGTGGTGTTTTGGAACGATGGGGGATTATCAAATGTTTGTCTTCTAATGGGCCACTTCCCGCATTGAACATACATTCTCGTAGGGACTCATGAAAAGGGGACTTGAAGGGGGGGTGATGGTAACATCGTTGATGCGTCTTGGGTCTACACTGGTCCTCTTCCTCCTCCTCCTCATCATCCTACTGCTCCTCCCGCCAGCAGCTGCTGGCACCAAGGACCAGACTCGCGCGCACTATATCGACATGGGGTCGGGTCGGCCCATTATTTCTTGGCCGTCCCCCCTTGCCGAGTGCGCTCCTCCTCCTACTCCTCCTGTTCCTCCTCCTCCTCCTCCTCCTCCTCCTGTTCCTTCTCCTCCTCCTCCTCATTCCTCCTCCTCCTCCTGCTCCTCCTCCTCCTCCTCCTCATCATCATTCGAGCTTTGATCCCAGAGCTTCGAGCTTCGAGCGGGGGGCCGCCACCCTCCCTGTCAGGGCGGGCGGCCAGGAGCCTGCTTTCAGGGGTAACGTTAGGGGGGTAGGCTCGAGAATCGAGGTATTCGAGGTTCGAGGCTCGAGGTTTTCGAGTCTGGGATCGAGGTTTTCTGGCGCTCCCGTTGGTTCTCGACGGCTTCCCAGCTTCGGAGTGCCTTCCAGCAGCTGCGCCTCGCCGAGGGCCTTCTGGGGATGCCCAGATCGTCCCGAACGGCCGCCAGAGAGCCGAGCTATGGTTCGAAAGACAGGGGGCAACGTGAGGGGGAGATAGGCTCAGGGGGGATGTGCCGCTGACAGGGGTCTGATAGCCCCGCCCAGGAACGTGCGGATGCGCTATCGGGGGCATATCGCCGATGTATGGGCGATGAGTCGCCGATTTCAGGTCGACGCTTCCCCCCCTCAGCCAGTCCTCCCGCATCGTGGCCCTTCATGCTCGCTGCCCCAGGTCTCCGGCGGGATTCCCAAAACATCGTTCGCATTTAGGGATTCTCATTTCTGTTCTAAGGAACTGGGCGTGTCTGGCGGTCTGGCGGCTCCATGCTTGCCGTCGCCGCCACGTCGCCGCCTTGCCGCCACCCGTCGTTTGAGCTTGTCTGGCGGCCTGGCAGTTCCATGGTCGCAGTCGCCGCCTCGTCGCCGCCCGTTGTCTTGGCCTGTCTGGCGGTCTGGCGGTCTGGCGGCTCCGTGCTCGCCGTCGCCGCCCCGTCGCCGCTTCGTCGCCGCCCGTCGTCTGGGCTTGTCTGGCGGCTCCACGGTTACCGTCGCAGCCCCGTCGCCGCCTAGATTGCACCACGTGGATTGCACCACAAAGGTTGCACCACCTAGATTGCACAATGCAATCTTGCGCAACATAGAATGCACAACTTAAATTGCACCACGTAGATTGCATGATATAGGTTCTCTCGTCTAGATCAGTCTTAGGAACTACGCCCCCCCGGACTTACTCGCTCTCTTGTCCGTATTGCAATTTACATACGTTTCTGCCCCATCGCCCATCCTAAGTATGACTTCGTATAATGCCGACCAGGCAGGTAACAGTTCCCCTCCCTCCTCTGCAGAAAACAAAAAGCGCGCGGACCCGCTTATCAACATTCCGAAGTTGTCAAGAACCCCTTGCGAAACACGGAACGAAGTGCACACGCTCGCGTCGTCGTGCGCGCATGCCGGAATCCTTCAAAAGCATGTTTGGGTTTCGTAAGGATTTCAAAATCGATTGTTCCGAAAACGTTTGTATTAAAACACATGGTTTCGCAATAAGACTGTTCAACAAGGGTTTGCGCTCATGCTCATGCGAATTCTTAAGAAAACCACAGGTTGATGTTCAACAGGTTCTTAAAATGCAACCAGGTGGATTTCTCGCGCGCGCATGTCGAAATCGTTCCAGCGCCCTTGCGTGAGCGCTTTCGCAATAATCCTTGCAAAAAACGGGTCGACGTGCACACGCGCGCGTCGTCGCGCGCGCATGCCGAAATCCGTCGAAAACCTTAGGTTTCGAAAGGATTTCTAAATCGAGTGCCCCGAAAACATATACAAACACATGGTTCCGCAACATTAGTTTTCAAAACATACTGCGCTCGCGCTCTTGCCAATTCAAGGAAGCCAGGGTTTTTCACAATTGTTAGTAAATTCTGCCAGACGGGCCTTTCGCGCCACATGTCGACATCATTCGAACGCCCTTGCGCGCGTGCTGGGGGGCACGATCCATGTCAGATAGTACCTTCATCACCGACGCGAGGACGCCGTCATCGTCGCAAATCGTCGCCGGCCTTATTAGCATCGGCGCCGGCATTGGCCGTCCCGTCGCCGCTGTCATCGTCGTCGCCAGCATCGCTACTATCATCATCGTGTCTACCGTCGTCGACGTTGCCATGATACCGCGCCCGCCCAAGCCGCCGATTCGCACTGTAGTGCCTGCTGGGCAGTGCCCAGATGTCAGCGCCACCAAACTAGCTGGCCGTTGCGCACGCGAGCATGCGCGGGCTAGCGCGGCCGCACAAATGCACCAGCCAACACCAAGCACTCATCGCAATCGCCGCCGCATGTGTTTTGCAAAACAAGTTGTGGGTGTGCGGGTGGGATGATTGCGCGAGGAGCAATGGGGTTGACAAATGCGAGTTCCACAAATGCATTGCACCGCCTAGAGCGCACCACACATAATGCATCATATATATTTATATGTATGTATGTATGTATATATATATATATATATATATATTGCATCAGTCGAATTGCACAGAAGCGATAATACCACAAAGGTGGTACCACATCGACTGCGCCACACTGATTGCCCCGCATAAGTTGCACAAAGCAGATTGCACCACACATGTTGCA